CAATGCGCAAGCAGTGGGCGTACTCGGTGCGCTATAAGCGTCCAGGTACGTTCCGATTACCGCGGTTGAAGCAGCTGTCGGAGGAATTTATTGCGGTGAAAAAATAACTCCGTGTGCCCGGCTGAAGCTACAGTGTTGGTTGCGTTTTCAGACAGCGAGGGGAGTGGGAAAACGGTGCCAGCTGCTATAATCGTCGAGACTAATCAACAGACGTCACTATTTGCTGATCTAAACCGTCAAAAAAGCAAGCCCGTGACGAGCGTTGGACTTCTGATCAGAAAGGTTGCGGGTTCGAGCCTCGGGTTGTGCACCACCTTGGAGTTCGGTATGACTGATTAGCGCTAACGGGCTTGAACTGGCCACTCTAGTCTGTGGCGGACGGCCAAAATGCCTGTCCCCCACCCTTCGTTCTGCAATGCCCGCGGCCACCAACGTCATCTGTCTTTGCACGCGGCTGTTCCCATTTACTGACCTGAACACCACTTGACCGCTGTTCAGTCCCACGCATAGGTGCGCACACCTGCACGTATACCCGTGCCCAGCTATTCGTGGTTTTTCAAGTGCCACTTGAACACGAGAAGCCGTGGCTACGCAGCAGGGGGCCTTTGCAGGCGACATCCCCTCGGGCAGTTGCAAAACACCAATAACAGAACACTTGAGCCTGCTCTGCAATCCAACTTAGGCAGCTGCCACCACTGTCTCATTCTCTCTCAGGTCTGACTGGACTCAACACTAGCCTTGGTTTCGCCGGTGGGCAAAAGTAGCTTATGTAAGCCCACTCATATACCCTTAATCCCAGCATTTTGTCCTGCAAAAACGGTGGTTATAGAGTTTTAGGGGATGAGGAAATAGGATAGACAGAGAAGGAAATTTTTAGAAGTAAGTGTAAATTGAAAAAAATGTAGTCGAAGTTGCTTCCCGCGGCCGCTGGGAGTAAGTTTTTTCGCATGTAAATTGAAGGTGTGCGCGGTGCTTCGTGCCAAGGACTATACAAATCTAACTCTAGAACGGTAAGTTGGACCTCAGGTAAGTTGAAATAGACGACCTCCTAACCACCATTTCAATTTTTTCGGGAAATTCATGAAACCTGCAATTTGGTAATCGGGTTTTTCCGCAAAAAGGTTAAATGATAATACAGATTAGGAAAATCTACAGATATAAATCAACAACA